CAGGACTGTACCCACTCCTCATCTTCGGCAAATGTGATGGATGGTCAATCGTAGAATCCCTAGTAAGTCGACTTGAACATAACGGTGTCAGATCGTGTTTGGAGCTGAATCGGGCTCAAGGCATGTGGGATCCAAATATTTTCGGATCTTCACAAGTCTTTGGAGATGCCACAGTGCTGTCTCCTTGTCGCATCGGAATCGCTCTAGCAAATGATCGATACTCTATCCAGATCCCTTTTCAACAGCGTCAGATAGAGCATCGTGATTGTCAGTCACAGGGTGGTTGGAGTGTGGGTTATTTTCAAATAAAAAAGTCAACGCTGAGCAGAGTGAAGCGCCGTTGCACCGTGGTTTGAGAGAGCGTGCCCTCGCCCATCTTCTGGCCAATCCTTGGTCTAGCATGACTTGCGGAACATTCCAAGCAGTACTCGTAAAAATTAAGGGCACCGAGAGCCCTCTCGCGAAATCGGTGTAATATCCATAATAAGTAAGCAGACAACGAGCTGGACCGTTGGCTGAAATTGCAAAGGTTGATGCTACGTCAGGAAATATGTTGCGGATTTTCAGGAGTTCTCCTAAAATTCTATAGCATTAAATGTAGTTTGTTGCAAGACTTATGGGTACTAAGGTCGTTATTATGCTCTGGACAACCGGAGCCAGATAATTGGGGTGTACGGAAATATGGTTCGCTCGGTAACCAGGTTTGCTTGCCGTGATTAGAAAGGCGTTCCATACATCTGACTGATAATATTTCTGAAATATTTGAATAACATGTCTTCAGAGAAGTAAAAACGAAGGTAGACAAACGCAAACTGCTGATGGACCATTGGGAAGGTGAACAGCAAGCACTACGACGGGTAAGTCCATCTCACTTTCCGATCCGATTTCCTGAATTTTTGGACCCAATCGCGCAATTAGTAGATTTATTGCTCAGTGACTTCTGTTTGCCCGCAAAAGTGTGTGAGATTACGGTATTTCTTCTTTGATTCGACGGAAACGCTCTTTCATGTAATTATGAAATCGACGTAATATTACAGAAAATGGACGATGCTTTTACAGGCCACCCAGCAGAACGCCTTGAGAACGACAGTAAGCTATAGAGAACAAGTGCAAGAAATGAAAAAGCGTGCTAGAATTCTTAGAGAGATATACATATAAGTACTCACTGAAAGTCCATGACATGAGATGAACGCATTAAGCCCTGTTCATGTTAATTTCGTTGTGCTTGTGTGCTCGGGTAGACATGTGTGACAAATTTGGGCATGTGCGGATTGTCTGTTGCTTATGTCCTTCCCATTTCAGTCCATCCATTCGCGACAATCGGCTGTGGTTCCACGAAGGGAGAGCGCACTGATTGGGCCGAACTCGGAGCTTGGCAGTAGCAAAGCGATAAAAGTGAGTTTTGGAATCGTGGAGAAAAATTCTTCTTCTGTTCCATTTCTCTTTGTTTCGGGCTCTCTGTCGACACGCGGATATTTCATATCCAAATTTCTTGCAATTTTGCGTTTTTCTGACAATTGCTACTTGACTTATTTGCTTACTCTATGCACTTTAGCTTCTAACGAGGAAGGTCTTTCAGGAAATGCCAAGCTTTCTCAAAACGGTTTTTGCATGATATAGGGGTACGTGCATGGAACACAGAACTGTAGTTCATTTTTCCTGAGCGGCCCTCTGAATACCAAAAAGGAAAATGAAGTGGTCCGTGGTTCGAATCCTCGCAGTGACAATTTTTTGCATTTTGTGTTGGCGTTTCAAATCACGAAAAATAGCGTCAGGGAAAAAGCTCATATCATGTCGTGATTAGGGCTATGAGCAACCCCTTACACGTAGACTTTGGCTGAAAAACTGTGAAGAAAGTTAAGAACGGCAGTTCCTTAAGAAGTTTTTCTTCGCTCCTTTTTTGGTATTCAGAGGGCCGCTCAGGAAAAATGAACCACAGTTCTGTGTTCCATGCACGTACCTCTATATCATGCAAAACCGTTTCGAGAAAGGACTTCCCTGGTAAGACCGATACTCAATTTTAACCAGTAGCCTCGGAGCCGGAGCTGTGTTCATCTCACCCAGCGCTATTGGGCGCTTGATCGCCAACACTTTTGTGATGTTTCGATTTTCACGTAGAGAAATTCACCCAATTCCCGGAAGCTTCATTATAATTGATTTCTTCATCAACCTTAAAAGGAGGAATTCACGATTAGAATGAAGGTCGAAGAAGGAGTAATTCACCTAGTTGAGGACCGGCGGACCTCCTGAGGGTGCGGACTGACGCGCAATTGGCACCGAAAGATTTGACCTCGGCGACCTAGCATGGCTCACTCTTGGCGCGGTGGCGGGGTCCGCCCACCGACTATCCACTCGCCGCAGGTCTATACGTGGCGAGTGATTAGATAGCAGAGAGAGCGTAGTGTTGAAGAGGGCACAGCGATGAGAGTCGCATCAATGCGCAAATCAACGGGCAAGGAAGGGGTCCCATTTCTCGGGTTCTGGGCCGTTTCTCATGGTTTTTCCTTCTTTCGTGTACCACTCACCATCCCTAGGTTAATTTGAAATGGGTTGCTTTTCCATCGTGAATTCGTCACTAATGTGTTTCGTGTTTAGAGTAAAAACTTTTAACCTCTAAGGCGCTTAATTCGCTGGAGTATTTCCGACGATGTGTTCTGAACCCAACGAAGAATACCATTTAACGCCGGAAGTGTACCGGGGAATGCATGTTAATAGGAAATTTCTGCTTCTCTACGTTAGTCAGTTATTAGTTAGTCAGGGATACAAGGTTCCCCCTACCCAATCTCCACTGGTAAGCTCTGGTACACTGTGCCTAAATCTAGTTACCTAATCTGCTAGAGCTTGCTCAATGAATATGGTAATTCATAGCTTTGTCTGAAGGGAGATTTCCGAGTATTATGATGACTTCTATGACGTTTTGGCTTTTTTGATAACCTAAAACTTAAAATGTTGATGCCCAAATTATGATTTTTTTCACAAGCGGAAGCACTTCAAATGTACGTTTTTGAATCAAAGCACTTACTCAGGTTAGGCTGCTGTTTTCCATTGCGATATGAATCTCATTTCCTTTGTTGTAGGATACTACCAATGAAGAAACCTGATAGAAGTGTAGTAAAGATAGTGAAATGTGGTTCAATTGGGTATCTGTAGGATCTGCTCATCGAATTCCTTGTTCAACTTTCTCATTTTCAGGCTATGCTCATGGAGAAAATGATGCAGGAAAAAGAACGAGAAAAGGAACGAGAACGAGAAGAGGGTGTGCACAAGAAAGCGAGCATGGTTGGTGGTTGTTCCATTCCTTGATTTTCAACCAAAATACGAAATCAACCTTGAAACCTAGCAAATTTCCTATCCTGCAGAGTAGAAATACCTAAAGGAGCAGAGCTTGAGAATGAAGTCATTCAAAGATTGCGATTTATCGACCTCGCAGTTCAGCTAACTGATGTTATACTTCGAGTCTGGACGATAATGGATTTCTGTTTAGGAGCAAGATCGTCAGTCTGAACAGACGCTTGAAGAGCCTGAAGAGGATGCCAACAAGGCGATGTTGGACTATATAAGAACTTTAGTGAGTTTGCGAATCTTTTCGGGGGCAAGTTGCCTAGTGGAAGCGGGTGTCCAACAATCCTTATCCCACCGACGGCTTCCTACTACGGCAAATCACCACTCAAACCCAGAAGTTGAAGACCGTTTTCAGTAAAACAATTCGAGCAATTTCAGGTTCTGAATTTGGTTCACGCTCCACTCTCATCAGCGCTCAAAAGCTGCTTACTCCTGTCACCTGAGCAGTACAAACAGCTAGTGGAAGTCTCGTGGCAACTGCTACTCAATGAAGACCCGCACGTTGTTCTCACAGCTGGTGGGTTCTTGCTTAGAAACTAATCCCTTGGTTCTGTTTGATTTTCACCACAGTTAGTCGACTATGAGCCGTGCGATTGATAGATCGTGACGCGTGCGGCCGCGCAGCTGTAGGCTCCAATCATTTAATTTGTTTTAGCATCGATGCTGATTGCTGCATGCGTTCGTCGATCGGAAGATGTGGTGAAAGTGGTGAGAAAGTCACTTGAATCAAAGAATGCCACTGAAAGAACTGAAGCCATACAAAGGTTCGTCCAGGATGTCCACAAAGTCGATTGGGTCATTCGAAATTTCAAAATTTCGGGTGAACCCTCATCGATTGGGTTCATTCGAAATATCGAATGAACTTCCCCTACCATTACAAATGAATGCTCAATACAGGTTTTATGCATTATGGCGGAATAGATTTCATGTATGGCTGAAGATGGAAAGATGGGGCTCAAGCCTCTTTCAAGGTTGGCTACTATTTTTTCAGAAGAGTTTTCCCATCATGCTTTCATGCTTGCTTTCTTTTTGTGCATTCTTTGTGCAATTCTGTTTTGATAAAATTTCATGTGGGAGCTGAATAATGAGTGATTTAGGTGCCGCCTCCCGGCATCGACTTCACCCTTCCATCTCCCCCGATCGGCCAGAGCCAGTTGCCGGTAGTTGATCCGCCGTGGATGCCGCATCTGAAGACGAAGATTGAGGAGCTGTCGTTGAAGGAGGAGGAGCATGCAACAGTAAGCTTTGTTGTTCCACTTTCATAAATCTTCCTGTGGCGCATGAAAAGAGCATGCGCGGGTGTGGAAAAGGCCTCCATGTAATCAGTGATAAATGACCCATGGACCATTGTAAAGGCGAGCTCGAACGTTGGTAAGTTAAAATTGAATGTAAAATTCTCTGAGAAATGAAAAGCAGGTGGAGACCCTGGACGACTGATTCAGGCGTCTTTCTTGCGAGAGATTCACCTAGAAATGGTGCTATGCGCGCAGCTTGCTTCTTATTGTTAGACCACTCAACAGCAAAAAGAAAACGCTAGTGTGTCCACTTTGTCATGATAGGTCCACCGAACGCCACTCCTGTGATGATTGGTCCTGCTACTCTGTCTAGGGAGACAATTCATCCTAAGGGTCTTATCGCGACCCTTGCCTTGAATTATTCGAACTCACAAAGTGCGGGCCGAGTAGGTGCTTTACTTTGGGGTGTTCACGACTTCAACTCTGAGCTCTAGTGGTGGCCATACAAGGTGCATTCTTACAGAGAGCTCTTGTCGTTCTGAGCTCTCTGGTGATAATGCGACATCAACCAGTTTCTGTTAACTTAAATGATATTGGACAAACTTCTGCGTTCGCAATTGCTGAAGTTACTTTTACTTTCAGTCTCAGACTATTATGACGATGACTCGCACTCGGCGGAAACAAAAGCAAGAGATGGTGAAACGTGCCGTCAGGGATGCCGAAGAACGCCAGTGTGAGCAGCGGCAACTCTTCAGGTCGTTCTGTAATTTATACGCGATTTCTTTTGCAATTCTCAATAACTACCATTCCAGGCTGCGATGCTCCGCTATTGTTCAACAAGCCGCTTACGAACCCGCACTATTCCATCATCAGGAGCAAGGAGAGGGTAGGAGAATTTGATGGTTGGCAATGAATTGAAGTTGATCTTTATCGCACTCAGAATCCGAAGTTGCTCATCACCCTGCCCGACATCCACTGCCAGTTGCTCAGCCCGTTATTTCCCTCACCACTGCTGGCCGTCATCCCCCTCATTATCGAGATGCTCGACGA